GTTTCGGGCTCAAACGTTGTTATAATTATTTGACGTAGCTCTTCCCACGTTGAGGTAGTTACAAGCCAGTTATCGGCCCATATTTTAGCACGCCCTTTCAACAAGCTGGTCACTTTCATGCGAATGTCGTAGTCACTGAGCTCATAGGTATCTTTAGCCGTAGAAATATGATTACACCACTCACGTACACCAACATTACCATCAGGATCATATGAGGGTAAGAAGACCTCTGTGTTTTTAACCTTATTATTGGGTTGTTGGAGTCGTTCAGTCATGGTCTGCATCATTTTCATCATGTGTAGGAAAAAATCAGGTGGTACATTACCAATTTGTTGTGATACTGGGCTTGCAGTGTGCTCACTAGGAGTCGGGTTGCTCGGTCCCGAAGGACACGTAGGAGGCTCATCTGACTCGGCTCCGTCCATGGTGCACGCTGTAATGCTTCAGTCAGGATTATCTGAAATCGTCGAAAGACCAGAGCAGAAAGGGGATCGCATGGCGATCCCACTTCTGATATCGAAACAGAATTTGGGTTCGATTTAAAAAGTAATGTAAAACCGTTGACCTTTATCAAGGTCAAGGCTCTACAGTCTTTATTTAAGCTAAGAAGGTAATAACGATTAAATGAAACATAAAACAGTTAAGGAGTTGAGACTTGTTTTTAATAGTTATTTCAGTAATGTTTGGGGGGTAGGTGAAATTACGTCTGTTCGCTAAGGAATTACCATTATGAGAAGAACAGACAAGAAACTCATAAGGTTTTCTTTTTCAACAGTCAAACATTATTACAATTTCATTTACTTCAACTAGAAAAACTTAGAAAGTTAATACTCAACATTTAAATAACTATTTTTCAACACTATTTCTTAACAAATTGACTTTAACTCAATAACTATCGAAATAATAGCAAGACACTAATTTGATTTGGAATCCGGGCAGAAATTGCACAAAGGTTCAACACTCACTTGTTTTCCCGCTCAAAATCCGTCACAGACTCCCTCTCAATAATGTTTTTCAAGCCCACCTGCCGCCACTCTGGCGGCAACGTCTAGTTGCGCGTCAAAACGGAGGCAGATGGCGCTAACGTATTTTCGTAATATTAAATTTACCACAAATAACCATATTAAGAATTCCAAATCAAGCCTTAATTATTTAAACAATATTACAAATAAGTTCTGATAGTCTAAAGCAATCAAAACATTTAAAATAGTAAAAACAACTTACATTGAAAGTACTCACAAAGACTTGCATCAAATTAACTCACCAAATTTAAAACTTCACGTTAATACAGTATTATGAATTACAATCTTGTCTAAAAATTCTAATTAGATTTTAGAGAGTGAAATTTATAATCAAAAATAATCAATAACAATAATCAATTTAATTAATTTCCGGCGCCTCCAAAACTCCGCGGCGACATATACAATGTCAAAAATGATTAAAAAATATGTCAAGAATTATTAAATATACTTGAGGATTATAAAATACAATGTAAAAAATTATTCAAAGCAATGTTATAGGTATTAAATTGAATTTAATTATTGAGAATATAAAGGCAAGTCGTCGTCTAATTTATAATTTGAGTCAAATTTTTCATTTAAAAACTCATTTGTTGAGTAGTAACACTTATACAATAGGAAGTCAAATAATTTCTTTTTAAATGTCATGAAGTTAAGGTTTTTAAAAACATTAGGTAATTTATTATAAACACGAATTGCCATACAGTAAACATTATTGGCAAATAATTTAATCCTTTGTTGGGGTACACATAATTTGTGGATATTTCGGCTTTTTCTTGTAACAACATCATTATGTACTGGAAATAAAGCTTTATTTTTATGTACAAAGATACAGAGTTCGAATATGTATAAAGATGGGAGTGGTAATATTTTTAAATGTTTGAAGAGTGGGACACAGCTTTCTAATGGTTGGGCTTTAGTTATTGATCTAATGCATTTTTTCTGGGCTCGGAATGCTTTAATGATATCAACAGAATTACCCCATATAATAATGCCGTACCGGAGAATTGATGCTATGTAGCCGTGATAGGCATAGAGTGCAGCATTGATACCAGCTACGCGAGTCAGTCTGTACAAAACATATACAAATCTTTGCAGTTTAGTGCATAGTGTATCGATATGTTCTTTCCAGTTGCAATGTCTATCCAACGTTATACCCAAAAATGTAGCACTTTCAACCTCTTCTATAGCGTCATTTGCATACCTTATTTCTAATTGGTGACGTCTGCTGTTGTATGTTTGGAACTGTATAAGTTTAGTTTTACCGATATTAACGTGTAAATTGTTGTCTTTTAACCATTCTATTATTTTGTTTAACGTGTCATTAATCTCTTTTTCGTATTTAGTGAAATTGTTATCGATGAGTTCAATACTAAGGGTTGTATCATCGGCATATAAAATGCATGAATATGGGGTTACATTGGGCAAATCGTTAATATATAGCAAAAACAATAGGGGCCCCAAGATACTGCCCTGGGGAACGCCACACGAGTTTTGGCGATAGGCGGATCTATACACTTTCTTTTCTGATAATATGTGTCTAGATATCTCCACGCATTGTTGGCGATTATTTAGGTAAGTCTCTAACCAGTGTAACGCATTTCCCCTAATACCATAACGGTTTAATTTATAGAGAAGCAGTTTGTGATCTACGAAGTCAAACGCTTTTGACATATCAAGAAATATTGATGATATTTGCCTTTTCTCATTAAGACTAGTGGTAATCATTTTCACAAGAGAAAAACATGCATGAGTTGTTGACTTATTTTTTCTGAAACCGAACTGTTCCTCTCTTAAAATTGTATGCCTTGTTACTGCAGGACTGCAGCTTTTCGTACATGATTCTTTCAAAAATCTTAGAAATTATGGGTATCAGAGTAATCGGACGATAGTTATTCATGTCAGTTTTATCTCCTTTTTTGTGTAATGGTTTGACTATAGAATATTTTAGTCTGTTGGGAAATAAACCTTGAAATAATGATAGATTAATAATATAGGTAAGTGGATGAGATATAAATTTAGAGCAACGTTTAAGAATTTTGGTATTAATGTCGTCATACCCGGTGGAGTTAGTTAGATTTAAAGAATTAATAATTTTATACACCGTATCTTCACTAGTTGGAGTTAAAAATATGGTATCCGAGATGTCAGTGAGGGTATGTTTGTAATTAATGGGTGTTTCAGAAATGCAGATTTTTGGTTTGTTTGTCATGTTAATAAAAAAGTCATTAAATTTGTTTGCAATTATATCGGCGTGAGTGTATATGCAGTGTTCAATTTTTATAGAAGTAATGTCAGCGTTATTATCGATATCGGTACTATTCTTTTTTATAATGTGCCAGGCTGCTCGACATTTATTGTCCGATTGAAGTATGTAACGAGTATTGTCAATTTTCTGGGCATGTAATATGCATCGTCTCAATATTCTAGTGTAATTTCGGTAGTTCTTTAGGTGTTGGTTTTTATTAGAATTTAACAGTCTATATTTTAGGTACATACTTCTTTTCTTTACACAACATCTTTTTATTCCTTTTGTCATCCATTTAGTTATTTGCGGTTTGTTTGTAATTTTTACTTTCAAGACGGGGAAACAGAGATTATAAAAAAGGGACAGTGTTTCATGAAAATGATTGAATGCTGTGTTAGTATCATCTGACTCGTATATTTCTGAAAAGGAAAGGGACGATATGCATGATATAAACTTTTTTATGTTGTTTTGACTTATATCTCTTCTCTTTTGAAACCAAAATTGTTTCCTACATTTCGTAGTATCTACAGATGACTGGAAAGAAATGGACTGACCGGTCTCGTGATCAGATAATGCAAGAATATGTATTTGAGGCTGAACATTAGGTATGTCGCTTGCGATGAGATCTATACATGATGCTTTTCTAGTGGGTTTAGTGATATGGTTAGTAATATTATAGTTATCGAAGACAAATTCTAGTTCTTTATAATTATTATGACGCTTTAATGCGTCAATGTTCCAATCCCCGCATAGTATAATGTTATTTTTCTTTCGTTTTGTTATTCTCCTTAAGATAAATTCTAGATTCTCTAAAAACAAACTTAAATTTGAATTCGGAGTACGGTAAATACAGATAACAAAGACTTTAAGAGTAATAATTTCTATTGCACAATATTCGAAATCATATAGTAAAGGCGTAACTAAGTTGAGGATGGGTTTACATTCAAGGTCCTTTTTAACCATTATGCATGCACCTCCTCGTCGTTGGTGAGGTCTTGAGAAAGCTGACACTAATTTGTAATTTTTTAGTATTAAGTTACTTTCTGATCCTCTTTTTATGAAAGTTTCAGAAAAACATAAAATATCAATATTTGTACCTTTTGTATGCAGTTCCTGTAAAGTTATTTCCAATAAATCTACCTTGTTTAAGATGCCGGCAATGTTTTGGTGAAATAGTGTACATTTACGTTTAACCCCGAAAAAAATTGGAGTTACTAGCTTCACTAGGGTTCGGAGTAGTCTTAGTAGTTTCATTAGCATTTAAGTGCTGGTGGTTTTTTTTTTTCTGTAACTGAAAATAATACGGGTTTGTTCCTTTTTTGTTAACGGTTATACCACTATTTGTATTTGAGCTCCATGTATTGCGAGTGTGTTTTAGTGTGCAAGCTGTGTCCATAATTCTCTTAAGATTAACATTATCAATTTCTATATTTAGTTTATAACATAACATATCCTTGGATATGTAGTTACAGTTATTATGTCTGTATATGTTCTCAGTTGTATCAATGAACTTACAGTTAGAAAAATTCAGCGAAAAAATTCAGCGGTTCTTGCGTTTCGCTTGGCTTGTCTTGGTGGGGGCACTACTGTGACCCTAAATTTCTCACGTAGTTACAAAAACAACAAAAAGATATTACGTAATCTGTTCAAAACTTGTTTTACACTGTTGTTTTTTTTAAATAATATTCAAATATGAAATATTATATAAATAATAAGTGTAATTTTGTTTCCAGAGTGTGGTCGAATCTCACCGAAAGTAATAGAAACAAATGGGTTACCAGTGGAGCGCACAGATCCTCCTTGGCACGTAGGCATTCATAGGAAGTTCCCAAAACCCTACACTCAGGTCTGTGGTGGATCCATCATCTCCAAGGACGCCGTTATATCTGGTAAGTTTATGAGATAAACAGTTTTGATATCCAGTTATTAAAAAATAACTTTATTACACTCTTCGACATGATAACCATTTTTTTTAAAGTAGAACAAAATATTTATTTTGGCAACCACATACACAAACACAACAGCAAAGAAAAAATACCAGTTAAATTGGGAGTTTATCATTCGAAGAATGTACTATCATACCACAGATCTCGCTGTATACACCTAACAGTACGAAAAAAGAACAAAACCGCGGTGTCGTTGTTTACGTGATAAACACTTTAATGGCTGCGTAACAGAGCCGGATATTGATGATGCAAATTGCCTCCAAATAACATTATCAAATGATCACTATTTTTGGCATTTATCGACCCCCGACATTTACTCGTACAAATGATTATTTACGCTCACTTGATCGTATACTGTCAAAACATTCAAATAAAAATAATACTCTGAATAAAGCAGACGGTATAAACATAAACCTACTCTCGGTAACAAGTAGCAGTGACCGACAATATACGGTAAAAAGCCCGTATTCAGCAGTCAGATATAGGTCTTACTGCTGAACACGGGCTTTTTAGAATTAGAGCCATAGTAATTGGTACACAAGAGTTATCTTAGAAATAAGTGTTAAGATGCAGTAACAGTGTGTTGAGGTTGGCGATGATAGAAGTGACTTATGACCAACAAATTTCGATGTACCTCAGAGCAGCACTTTGAGCCCCACATTATTCATCATGCACCTATACGAGTATAAACGATATACATGACAGTTTCGACGCCGAGCTAATTTGGTATAGGACGATACTGTTATTTTATATGATTCTACTTGGCAGGGTGTGTTCTCGAAGCCAGGGAACGGAATGCGAAAGGTGACCATGTGGTTGCAACAAAATTTACTTACCCTGAATACTAAAAAGACTAAGTGCTTATGTTTTCACAAAACTAAAGCTTCAGCCCCTAATCAAAACCTAAACATTTTACTTCATGACTGTTTATAATTAAATTAATTGTATTGAACTGACCAAAACAGATACTCATAAATATCTTGGTGTGACGATTGATCAAAATCTTAATTTTAAAGAGCATATTAGCGTGCTCTCGTCTCGAATCCGCTAAAACTGCAAACATTTTAAAGTTACTTGGATCATCTACGACGACTGACATTTTGAAGACAGTATATTATGCCTTGAGCCAGTCCTTCATGACATACTGCATAAGTTCTTAAGGTAGTGTACAAAAAACAATGCTTATTCAAGCAGAAAGAGCGCAACGTTCGGTACTTAAAGCGATGTACAAGAAGCCATTTCGGTACCCAACTACAATTCTGTACGAGGAAAGTCAAGTGTGGAGTATACGCAAATTGTTCATTTTAAAAACAGTCCTTGCCGTTTACAGAAGAATAATTGCCTCGCAGGAATACACGTAGGTACTTATTTTTTCATTTCGTGTTTATAGACTAGCGGTGCCTAAAATCAAAACCAGATTTGCGAGACGTTTTACCCCGTTTAAATATAACTATATTTACATAACGGCATCTAGTGCATGTGATATCAAACAATGTTCTGTGAGAGAGGCAAAAATAAAATACTCGGATGGCTCACCTCTCTGTCGTATGACTCAACAGAAAGTATTTGGTTACCCTTCTTGTAAAACATATATTATATATACACCTATCTTATTTATTTTATGTATTAATATGAATTATATATATTAATGCACGTTATGATATTATAAAGTGAAAATATATAAACAAACCTTATATACTTACTCATAACGCACTTTTGCTTTGTATAAATATCTTGTACCAAAACAATACTTAGCTTAGCATGTAGTTAATAAAATTGTTTTTATGTATGTTTAGTCTTAACGCTAAAACCTCTTATAAGATGTAAAAAGCTAACAATGTAAAATTAAATGTGTAAATTGAATCGGTTAAATGTGTAAACCCACAAGACAGGCTTGTATAGTATGGGGTCACAGGACACTGTTGTCATGTTGTACTTCTTATAGGGTAATAAACAATATTTATTTTCTGGCTACTGGCAAAACCATATGTTCTGCCTGACCAAACAGAAACCGCCTCCATTAGACGTACGAGCAAGAACACGTAATTATGGCTCGATGAACTTTTTCGCTTGTTTGTCATTGTAAATACGCGATTTTTGGGGCTGAACAAAATCGTCGGCGATCCAACCGGTTTAAAATCTTGCTCGTAGCTCGTCTTGGCTCGTACGTGAGGCAGCACTGCGAGCCGCGAGCCGCGAGCCGCCGTTTCGCCAGTACGTAGATGCACAACGCTTGTGATGAAATAAACATTCTCAAAATGAGTAATTTGCGCACTTATTCGCATGAACTGCTAACAGAATTTATAGAAGGTTGCCGAAATAACCATTTTCTTTAGAAAATAAGAAGCAATTATTGCAAAGACAACAATATGAAGTTTCAAGCATACAATAATTTATAACAAATTATACGTAAGTTGGAAAGAGATGCTACTATTGATAAGGTCAAGAAAAAATACTTTTTTAAAAATATTATATCATTTATTAGTTATTAGTGTGAGCAAGCTTCACGTTTGTCACTGACGTCGAGCTGAGTAAGTACGCGTACTTTAAAATCGCCTACTTAAAGTTCGTACGTCTATCACCCTGTTTATTGGTGAAGGCCAGTATTGTCAGTGCGCAGAGATACAACGTCAAGAGAGATAGAGATACAAGACATAAATTGAAGGTCATATCAGGCTGCACTGTGGGGGAATGTCACTTTTCCAAGTTAAATCATTTGTATTAACTAATATTTTTCCACTAGCTGCACACTGCTTCTGGAACATGAAAGTACTGCCAGCTTCTGATTACGCTGTAGCTGCTGGGAAATTGCACCGGGCGTGGAATGATGCAAGAGATGAAAATGCACAAAAATCTGACGTAAGTACCTTTAGAAGGATAATTTTATTTGCCATAAACCGTTTAGTGGCAAAATATCAAATTTTCAGATGGACAACAGAAAGCGGAAATGTAATATTTAGAAAATTGACCTATATTTAAAACTTTCTAATAGGAACATCAACATTGAGTGATCAACAGTGAGTCATCAAAAACGTCTCTGTCTTGTCTTCCTATGACGGAAAAGATTAATTATACAGAATTGCTTGTTCTGAGTTTATGTTCTCTGATTTAAAATTTGATATTTCGTGATGCGACAGATAAATCGCTTTCGGTTGTAGATATACTCGTATCGTCGGTGAAGTCGTGATAAAAGTGGAAAGTCAAAAATATAATAGATTTATTTGTGACGGAACACCCAAACTAGGTTGGGGTCGGCTTTTGGCCTTGAACTTCGATTTTTTTCGTGAAGCGACTGCCATCAGACCTACACCACCCTCACGCCCCATCAGAAATCTTTAAAAATAAAGTACAAAAAATCATTATTGTGTACATCTCATTCCAGGTGAAGGAAATAAATGTACCGAGGCGTTTCCAAGGGTCTCGAGAAGACATTGCCGTGTTAATTCTAGTCACTCCGTTCGTGTTTTCTACCTTCGTGAGCCCTGTGTGCTTAAGCTTCGACTATGATCTTGAGAATAGGCAGCTGCAAGAAGGCATGCTAGGACAGGTATATTTTTCATTAAACGTCTTGTGATAACTGATTTATCTGATTTCAATAATTATCAGTATCTCTGTTTAAAAAAAAGACAACTTCCGCACTAACTCGGAACTTTACAAACATACATGAAACGGATACAAAGTATTCTCCATTAGTTCCCAATTCAAACAATTAACTTTTATAGTTTCACCATATCTCTATCGTATATCTACGGTGTGGAGGAAAGGGTGTCATGACCGTCGAACACAAAGGGAGGATCCTCCGACCAGGCGAGGTGATCATGCCTGGCGGGCAGCGGCCCAACGGTTGATGTTCGGAAGTTGTATATATGCTTCTCGGCCTGCGAATAACTTATATCGCGATACAGGACTAACGGCTACTCCTTAGTTTGGTGTGTCTTCGATAGATGGTGCTGTAGTTTTTGTTTCTCTGTATGTGGGAGCTAAAAACAGTTTTCTTTTTATATTAATCACACTGACAAAGTGATGAACTAAAATCTTGATAAGATAACACCCCTTACACATACTAACGATGAGTTCTAATGATCCGTTTGCAAAACGTGGAAGTTGAAAAGTATCCGCCTACTTGACAACTGTTTCGGTGAGGCCGTTGTATCATTTCGGTCCAGCCAACCAACATGTACCGAAGCAATGCTTTCCTACAATAAAAAATTCGTGTCTTAATGCGATGTAAAAATAAACTTCTCATCTACGTATTTCTTCCAGGTCTCTGGATGGGGTCGGACATCTATAAACGGAAACTTTTCTCCTGTGTTAAAAAATATTCAGATGCCATACATCAGCGTGGCTCAATGTCGTTCAAAAATTAGTGTTGCCGACGACAAATTTTGTGCGGGCTTACAAAACGGTAAGAAATTAGGCTCTAGACAGGTAATGTAACCGCTGACTCTCATTACGCAGCTTTGGGGGAATACTTCCTGGGAGAAAAAAAAGGTTTCTCACTCGTTATGACAATGATCTTACTGTACGCCTCTACTACCTGTCATATAGTTACAGATTGAGAATACGCAGTGACACCATCCACCTCCCGTGGGTGTCCTAAGAGCCGACTAATGGAGCAAACTACGCAGTACAAAGGCACTGCAAAGAGAAGGAAACTTGAAACAAACCATTCTTTTTTTACGTGTGGAAACCCCCTTGAGCCGTCACCCCGAAATCGGACGGACTAAAACCACACGGTGTGCCACTCTGCGCCTGTAATAGGAGGGATCCGGGAACTGCTGTTCCCCTGCTTGGGGAACATTCTCTATTTAGGCGACGTCCGGCACACGCGGACGTCACCTCCTCGCGGCTGGCCGTTATCACTCTGGGAGGCATTAAATGTGTGTGCTCTCTCTGTCAAGACCAATCCCATAGCCAAGGATTTCATTTACGAGCGACCGCAAAAATGTAGACCACTGCCTCCAACACGTCTTGTTACAAGATCTATTTAAAAACTCATTTATTTATGCCTTCAGTCATTTATTCCTTCGTTCCATTTTTCAATGATTCATTCAATTAAGTACACGCTTTATACATTACCATTACTAACTTGAATGATAACTTAATTGAATATGAGTGTAACTTATCATCGGGCACAGAAAACCTCTGCGAAGGCGACGGCGGAGCAGGAATAGCTTTTCCATCTTCTACAGGAACGAGCATACAGCGATACTACCTCAGGGGAGTCGTGTCCAGGCCTTCGGGCCGCGAAACTATATGCGATGACTCTCCGTTCAATGTCTTTACATATATTACAAAGCATGAGGATTTTATTAAAGATTTTATATGAAAACTTTGTTTTATTTCAAGTTATTTGAAATTCTGATTTCCTTTTTATGCTATAGAAATGGTCACCTAATGGTTAGTGGCTACTGCCATCTATTTTGCGCAGACAAAGATGCAAGCACCATATAGTGTAAAATTGTAACATATTTCATTTGCGACTAATACCGTGGGGTGGAAATTTCCACCTACAAGATAAAATAACCTTCAATACTATATAACGAAGAAAACGATAGAAAGTTTACCTACCCCTAGATGAATACATAAATGTACCTATACAACTACTTACCAAAATCATCTGTTGGGCCACGGTCTGCAGGTTTACTATATTTAATTTAAAATGTGTAAATTTGAAAACATATGTGAAACAGGCCAAGATTCTTAAATAAAGGATTTATTATTAGGAACTAAAGAAAAATCATTCATGATGCACGCTCCTTTTTTTGTAATATTATTTAATATTTTCTCATTATTAACAGTCATTCATTTTTCTTTATATTATGTAATGAATAAAAATTATTACCTGGGTGTATTGTAAAGATGTGTTTTATTTAAAAGAAGTACATGGTGAGTTCTATCTAGGAGCATATTTCAAGTATTCAGTCAGGTAGCTGGCAACACTGAAACGAATGTCTCTTTCTCATGCTGTGCTGCCAACCTAGTAATTTGTCCACTAAAACTGGTAGTTTAGAACTAATGCTTTTAGTGGCTAGTGGATTTTTCTAGTGGTAAGATTGCAGAGTACTTAGGAGATGATGTTGAAAGATGAACTGTGAGTACAGTTTGTGTACGCAAACCTCAGAATTTTCTAAAAGAAAGGAGAGATTGAAGGGAGATTGGACGGAAGTGCTCAGGAAGAGAAGGATTATTGATTGTAGGAAATTTGATGATGTAGGCCAGAAACAGTGAAGGTTGTGGAGCCGAGAGAAAAGTCAATAATGTAGGCTATAATTTCTTTTTAAAATCAGGATGATAACTACCAGCATACAGCCTACTATCATCTCCAGAAGGCATCGAAGAAAAATCAGCATTGACAGAATTGGGTGGAAGTTAAATCTTTTCTCTGCTATGTGAGAAGTAGAATGAATACTCTGTGGTTTGAGGTTGGAAGAAAAAAGACAAAAACGATTCATCTGAAGAAGAAGAATTAATTTAAAATAAGAAACTATTGTTATTGAATATTTTTTATGTTCCTGATTTGATTTGTTGATTTACTATTTGTATGTTGATTTTTTAAATGTTTTCATTAGTATTACGTAATAAAAAGGAAACTAATTATTATATACATACGAGGGGTGATCAATAAGTAATGATAATCGAGTATTTCTAGAACGCACAAAAACCCAAATTATTTTTTTTCTGCTTGCTTATATATCCACTACTTCAGCTTCAAAAAAATGTATAAATAGGACACCATTACCGGGAGATACATTCATTTGAATACGAACTGTCGAAGAGAAAACATCAAAATGGAGAAAAATGAAATAAAAGCTGTCATCAAGTACCTCTGCCTGAAAAAAATGTCTACCAAAGACATACACAGCGACTTAGAGGAAACATTGGGGGAGTCTGCTCCTCCATATTCCCCAGACGCACGCTGGGCAAAGGAATTTAAGCTGGGCAGAACCTCCACTGAAGATGAACATCGCGAGGGACGCCCTTCCACGTCCCTTACTGGAGAAAACGTCAAAAAAGTGGAAGATATCGTGTTGGCCGATCGAAGGGTGACCGTAAGGCATGTAGCTGAGGTCACAGGGATCTCCTATGGCAGCGTTCAAAAAATCATTGTCAACAAAATGCATATGAAAAAGGTCTCTGCGCGTTGGGTACCGAGAATGTTAACCGACGAGCAAAAAAAGAAACGAGTCGACATTTCGAGGGTGAATCTTCAAAAGTTCCAGGCCGATAAAGAATTTTTTTTGTCTCGTTTTGTGACCATGGACGAGACCTGGATCCACCACTTTGATCCCGAAACCAAACAACAATCAATGACTTGGAAACGAGCTTCCTCACCAACGCCGAAGAAATTCAAAGTGTCAAGTTCAGCGGGAAAGGTTATGGCGTCTGTTTTCTGGGATGCAGAAGGAATTATTATGGTGGAATATTTGGAAAAGGGGGCCACTATAACAGGCTCTTACTACGCAGGCCAAATAAGAAGATTGCGAGAAGCTATTAAGTCAAAAAGACGCGGTAAACTGCGCGCTGGAGTGCTGTTTCACTAAGACAACGCCCCGGCTCACAAAGCCGCAGTTGCGATGGCTGCCATTGAAGAAACGGGGTTCAAACTGCTCGAACACCCTCCCTATTCGCCAGATCTAGCTCCCAGTGACTTCTACCTCTTTCCTCGGCTCAAAGAACACCTCCGGGGCAACAAATTTGAGGACAATAGTGAAGTGATGGCCGCAGTAGAGGCATTTTGGGAGGGTCAAGACAAAGAATTTTTTTCAAAGGGAATCATGGGCTTAGAAAAAAGATACACTAAATGTATTAACTTGCAAGGAGACTATGTTGAAAAATAAAATACTTTTTTTAATCTAATAGTTCTGTTTCATATTGATTATAATTACTTATTGATCACCCCTCGTATATAACAATAATAAAGAATAAGTATGGTATGTATTTTAATGTTTTTTCTTAATAACAATTCTTTTTTTATGTTTAGTGGAAAATTTAGCGACTATTGGAGTAGGGCCGTATTTCGTTAGTGGTTTTAGATGTTGAATCTGGTGGAAAGTTTAACTGTTGGCAACGCTGCTGGTATGTCAATGTCAACATTGTCAAGTCAACCATCAGCGACGAATCCGTAAATAAAAGAAAGCTAATGAAAAACATTCAAACATTTCCCACAAAACATGTGAATTATTATTAATTTAGAAAATGGACGAAAATAAAATGGAACCGAAAATCACAGATAAAAAGAGGTTTTCATCGAAAAAAATTGTAAGAGGGTGCCTCTTAGCAACAATTGGTATGACATTTTATTTTAAACTAAATATCTAATAGATAAGCGGTCAATAAACTAGGCAAACCTTCCTTGAAGTACTTTTGAGACTTATTGCTATTTTTGTGCTAACAAAACCAGTGAAAATCGTACAACAAACAGATTTTTCGCTTATTTTTAGATTCAGTTCTAGTCATGTTTATTTTACAAGAAAACATTCCACATTTTTTTATTATCCGCTGTAGTTGAGTAGTTAGCCTTGATATGTTAACCTTTAAACAAAGGCATAAATATTTTAGAACTCATTATAAATAAGCTAAGTAATCTTTTTCACATGGGTTTTGTTTTCATTGTGCCATTTGTGTCATTCCATTTTACGCATGTATTAGTACACAGCATGAAAACAAAAATTGTAAAGAAAAATCACACACTGTATTTTTAAGGTTTTCCACTTTCACTCTGTTCCTCCAAGCCAATGTATGGGTGGATTCCCTCCTCAAGCTAACCCATATGTGCCAATGCATGGTTCTCTTACTTTAAGTGTTGTTTCCTTTCAGCATTCTCCCTAGGATACCTCCATTATCGCTACGTGTCACATCTCTTTGAGAATGATCGCAACTTCGCGTATCTTTCTGAGATGGAGAGAGAGATGTCCTTCCGGACGGAGATGGGCTTCTACTACTCCTACTTTAAGACAATGGTGGAAGAGAGACAGTTTATTGCTGCAATATCCAAACTCATGTACGATAGACTGGTGGAGTTTCCCAAAGATGTGAATGCTGTAAACCGATTTAATATACATCCTGAAGTAAGATTCTAATTACTTTCATTTATTTTACTGAGCTGTTGGTCTAGTGGCTAGTGATACTGACTACTAAGGTAGAGGTTGCGGGTTCGATTTCGAGACAAATAATTACGTGATGACCACAATCATTTGTTCTGTGTTGGTGTTTGTTATATATGTTTAGTTATATATAAGTATGTTTATCAGCAGTCCAATAAGTACAGGCCTACAGGCTTTGTCTAGTTTGATATCAGAGGAATGTGTATGAGATGGATTTCTGATGGAAATAATACAAAACCACACAGTATTCATAGCCATGCATTTACTAAGGTCAGATAAGAAGTCCCATTATAAATATGACACAATGACACAATTGTTGTGGCTTTGAAACCAAATTGTTCTCGGTGTGGGAACAAAAAATCCACAGTGAAAGTCCCATGGAAATCAGTCCAACTGTTTCAAAGACTATCTGGAACAAACAAACAGACTAAAAAGTATTTGCAAAAAAAATATCTCTATAAAATCTTTGTTCAACAGCACAAGCTTAAGAACATAATATTTTCTGAACATTCCCTACTTATATTCCAGGTAGTCATAGGAGCCCTGTATCGGTACTTAGAGCCCTACATAAACACAACAACAAACCGCCAATGTCATATGGTAGACCGTGGTGGGGATCTGGCACCAGTAGAAAGCTGTGTGGGCATAGGACAACCAGTATTCTTCTACCTGGAGGCGATATGGTGGCTGACTGGGCTAACAGTAGCTGCCCTGTTCCTTTATGCTGCTACAATAAGGTACTTCAAATATTACTCTTCCAGTACTGGTTGTGGGTTCCATACTCACCCAGTACAAATATTGTGTGATGAGCATGTTCATTTGTTCTGTCTGGGTGTAATTTATCTATAATATGTATGTATTTAGAAATATTTAAGTATGTTTATCAGTAATCTAGTTATCATAGTACAGGCTCTGCCTAGTTTGGGATCAGACAGCCATGTGCTAGGTTATTATTATTTAGTTCAAATTAGCATAAAACCTCTTCATACAAACTTTCATCCCCTGTTTAGTATCCTTGAGATATAATTTTGTTACAAAGAGTAGCCAATTTCCTTCTTTAAAATTTTATCTATTTCTAAAGGGTAGTAAAATTAGCAGAGCCTTCGACTGCAATGCCAGTGGTCGCGGATTCGATTACCGCTCAATAAAAATATTTGTATGCATGACTGAGCATTGCTCTGAATGAATTCGACTAGCTCTTGTATAAAAATTATTTCTTTTTCCTTGCGAACTGCTTTTTAATTGTGTCTTCCATTCTTCAACAGTGAATGTCTGCTCGGTGGACTCCTAGCAGTCGCACAGTACTTCGCGAACCACACCGAGTGTACCAGGGTGCAGTGGGCACCCAACGAGAGGGAGAACTTAGCGGCTCCCTTTCTCTTGCTCCAGACCTGGCTGGTCACAGTACAGCTTAGAGATAACCAGAGGAGAACGACCTTCCAACTTCAGGTATGGATTCTTTGAAGGTTTCTTGGCCACCTGTAAGACATATGTCACCATCAGGGTCAATGTCACGCATGAATATATTAAGAAGAAGCAAAAGAAAAACTTTGTCTTTTACATCATACACACTTAAAATTAATAACAATACTTAAATAATAAATAATACTTGAAAGACAAAATGGTCTTAAACTCAGCGTGTGGATGATAGTGCAAAGCAGGCCATCCGCTGTAATTCTGTCTAAGCTAATCATGGTTAATAGTCTTAGAATAGGCACAAAGACCTGACCTGACCACAACCTGACCACGTTTGTGGATTCATGTCCATTATCACTCTATACTCCAGTAACAATGCAACTATAAAGTTTTTGGTTTATGGTAAGGAACTTTACGGTTGCATTGGTGTCTACTCAGACGGGTCCCCTGAAGTAACTATCCCCCAGAATCGGGTAGGAGAGGTTTGGGCTCCGATAGCCTCTCTCATTTGGTGTAAAGCAAAGAAAGAATTGCACACACCAGTTTTCTGTGAGACCATGGTATCAATCCGGTCGAACCGGTCCATTTGTGTCGAAAGACGGCTCTCTCACGCTACTTTCAGTGTCTAACTCACTCAGTGAAAAGCATCTGAGTTGTACAATACTGCTGCACACTTGGAGTAGTGGTTTAATCGGTCACCTCGCCGCTTTCTACTGCGCCGAGTGTTGTGGGTCCGATCCCCACATGGGACAACACTGTGTGATTCACAAATTGTTATTCTGAGTCTGGGTGTACTTTGTATCCGTTTCATGGGTGTCTGTAAAGTCCCCGCGACACAGGATTTATTCCAAGTGCGGGAGTTGACTTTTTTAATAAAAAAAAAGTAAATAATTATTTTTTTGTTACAGGTCTCCATTTTTATCCTGAATTCTCTATGCCTATTATTCTGGCAATTCTCACAGTTTATATTTTTAACGCAAACCGCCATTTTCTTCGTAATGGAGCAACTACGTATAATAGATGTAAAATCTTTGTGCATTTTCCTACATTCGCATTTCTGTGGGCTACATATGGCAGTGCTACTGTTACAAGGAAATGATATGCTGAAATCGTCCTTATATGCATCATTCTTTTTAATAGTTTCGTGCTATTGTCTATTCTTTAGTTCATTTCTCATTAAGATTCAAAATCGTATGGATCTATTTGTTGAAGCCTGGTTGGTATTATTAAGAATAGCTATAGTCACAGTGGCTTCGCTGTACTTAAAAAAAATAATTAGTAATTTTCTTGAAGTACAAGAAGACTCCCATATATGGGACATATTGTACTCTAAATTGACTAATTTTAAAACATTTCACACACTAATCTACACTTGTACTGAGGTTTTTGACTTTCTACCGTTTTCTACCATTCAAAAACTACTACGATCGTTTTTAATACCATTTGTACTACTGGGCATTGTAAATGTATGCCACTATTGGGTATCTAACTCTGTGAAAGAGACCGAGAAAGAGATAGAAGATGAAATTAATGAAATAGAAAAGGACGGAGATATTTCTGATGAATCTGACAGTGGAATCGAAAATTCAGATACGAAAACTAGTAAAAAAAAGGCCTTGACAGATTTGGACCTACTTGACAAAGAGATAAAGTCGAAAATTGAATGTAAAGAAAATACGAGTGTTGAAAGAGATTTGTTAATATTGTTTTTAAGGAATTTACGAGTGGATCCTGGTATATTTTATAGTATTTCTCAGATGGTTGTGTTTGGTGTGATGGCTGTGTTTGTGATGAGATTAAAATTGTTGTTCGTACCACAGATGTGTGTGGTATCTTCTCTGATGATGAATTCCAGTTATTACGCGTGAGTATCACTTATTATTTCATGAAAAATAATATATAAACGATTCAATATGGAAAATTATAATAATAAGAAATTCACATCCCACATCCCCCAGAGCCAATATAGGCAGAGCCTGTACTATGGTAACCAGCCTGCTGATAAACATACTTATATATTTCTAAAACATGCATATTATACATAAATTACACCCAGAGACACAGAACAAATGATCGTACTCATGACACAATTATTTGTCCTGAATGGGAATCAAACTCGCTAACCAGTAAACCAACAGCCCTATTAAAAATACTTATATATACGTATATGCATACATTTATAGATAAATGACAGCCACCACATTTATTCATGCACACTAATTTATTCCTGAACGGGAATCGAACGAACGACCTCTGGCCAAGCAGTCGATATCACTAGCCACCAAACCTAAACGCACATGCCTGTGATTATTTTTATGTAGAGGTGCCTTTTTTGTGGTTTTCTAAGTGCCCCCCCCCCCCCTCCTCTTCCAAGAATTAATGAAGATAACAGTTTGTAGAATAACCTCTGTTTGCAAGTTAGACTATGTTCTGGCAATATGGCAAAGAAAGAAGGTGCAACAGCCTAGTGGTTAAGGCATTGGAGTTGCGATCAAAAGGTCGTGGGTTCGAATCCTGACCAGTACACTACCGACGTGAACCCACTCCTAACACAAGCAATTTAGCTTAGCGGGAGGGATAAACGGGAATACTAGTAATTTCGGTTACTAGTAGACCTTTTAAAAAAAAGTGTTTTAGATACCTCTTCCCCTTAGAGGATACAGACACGACTGTAGGTTTTTTTATGGTATAGGAGGGCAATTAAGCAGGCGGGTCACCTGATGGGAAGTGACTACCGCCGCCCATGAACATCTGCAACTCAATAATAAAAAATGAGCCACCCTTTGAGTCCCACCCCCCAGGATCAGGGGAACGAGGTTTGTGCCCTAGAAACCTCATTCACTCAATGAGAGAAACGAAAAAACATTGGCACTCCTTGAGTGCCCACAGAATTGAAAACTTATATACAGAGGTGTCGGTAACGGTAACAGTGTTGCATGTTGAATTGTTTTTTCCCATCTCAAAAAATGACCAACGCTCCTAAAGAAGTTTTCACTTCAACAGAGATGTCGGTAACGGTAACAGTGTCGCGATTTCCATGGCTTTGTGCCCATAAACTACATTCTTTTGTTTGTGCTCAAAAATGGCCAACGCACCTAAAGAAGTTTTCACTTCAAAAACCGCTTGACGCTGTTTCAACATCACTTCGGTCAAGCAGACAAGCAGAATAATTATCCTGCTGATCCTATACTGCCTTCTTTGTATTTTCAGCGTCCCGAAGTCCTACATGCGGTATATACCGTTCTTCTGGATTGTCAGTATGACTCCTTTAGTCCAGGAACTGATACACAGTGTATCAGAAGAAATGTCTTTTATTGGTAAGTTTTATTATAAATACAAATTCAGTATCTTTATTTTTTAATATTTATCATTCTTAATAGTCCACTGCTGGCCATAGGCCTCAGAAAGGAGGTTTTGGCTTTCTATACCACTCTGGCCAGGCGGGTTTGTATAGGGTTTGTTTCAAGTTTTCCTTCTCTTTACAGTGCTGTTGTCCTGCGTAGTGTGGTCCATTAGTCGGCTCTTACGACATGGGGTGAATATGGGTGGTGACACTCCGTGTTCTTAATCCGTCACCACACAGAAATAATAATAGGTCTTTACCTATCAAATTGCCGTTTTGTATGCAATAAGTGAAAGTACTTATTTTTACAAACTTTTTTATTTCTGTTATTCGAAGTAATCATCCATGCAATCGACGCATCTTTGCCAACGCATTGGCAGTTTATTAATGCCCTTCTTGTAAAAATCAGCTGGACGGGAGGCAACAAACTCTTCAAAGGCATTTTGTACTGCCTCTCGGGAATTGAATTTTTTACCACGCATGCACACACGAGTGACCGAAAAAATCTGGCCGTTGGGAAATATAATCTGACAGTGAAGAGAAAAATCAGAAAAATATTACAAATATCAACATTTAAATGCAATTCAAGCAATACGTATAACATAATTTGCAGGTGAATTTAGCGACCTACAACAAGAGCAGCTAATGGAATGGATTATATCCGAGACGCCCGCGACTGCGGCGTTCGCGGGTTCGATGCCGATATTGGCCACTATCATGTTGATCACCAGGCGGCCTATAGTCGCCCATCCTCATTATGAACATCTAGAAGCCAGGTATAATAATAATAATAATTTCACATATCTCACACAGGGCAGTCTGATCCCAAACTAGGCAGCCATTTTTTTCTGTTCGGAAATCCCCTCGGATACCACCCGCCGGTGGTTATGTCGCACTCGAACCGATATGCCGTCTCGGGTACCAGTAGCCAGGGAAACTATACTAAACTAGACAGAGCCTGTACCCAGACTGCTGATAAACATACCTATATATTTCTAAACACATATATATTATAGATAAACAACGTTCAAACACAGAACAAATGCTCGTACTCATCACACAAATATTTGTCCTAGGTGGGAATCGAACCCGCAACTTCCGGCTTAGCGGTCAGGGTCACTAACCAATAGACCAGTATATATACACAGTAGTGTCTGTATCCTCTAAGGGGTAAACAGAAGCATCTAGAACATACATATTTTCTCATCGATAACTTAGTCCAACTTACGTATTGGATTGCCCCTACCAGCGTAGCGTGGCGACGCATGCCGTGGTGACGCGTCGCCACGTCAACAGTCTGTCTGACAGTAGATGTTACCTAAAACAAATATACAACCGAATACAGAATCCCCCTTTTTTAAGTCTGTTGAAAAGAGTGGGCATCTATATATTACATGAACATCAACAGCCTTTAATAGTCAACCGCTGGACATAGGCCTCTCCTTAGAAAGAAGGTTTTAGCCTACTATACCACGCTGCCCAGACGGGTTAGTATAGTGGTATGATCTATAATCTATAAATTATCTTACTTACTTTTTCAGAGAGCGCGCGTATGCAGTGTACAAGACGTACGGCCGTTTCACTCCCAACGAGTTGTACCAAGAGCTGAACAAACTCCGAGCCACGCACCTCGTGGTGGAGAACAAATACTGTTACGGAAAGAGTTCGTAAGTATTCTGCATATTCAAACGAGCATATGAGACACCTTCTTGTATCCCCTCCCACCCCCAGAAGTAGGGGTAAGAGCGTTTAATGAATGCACTCCTCAGTGAAAAGCAACGAAGAAAGTTTATCAAAATTGGTCCAACCGTTTGAGCGTCAAGAAGTAGCAAACATACAAAGACACACACTCAAAAAAGTTTGGCTTTATAATATTAGTGTGATTAGCTAGTATCTTTGACTTCTTCTACGTAGAATCTCTTCCATATAACTTTCATCCCCTATTTCATTTTGCCCCGGAATCACAGTAAATCAGTGTTAAGTAATTATTTGTAAGGTCAAGCCCAACCCGCAGATGTAAGATGTTACAAGATATTATTTTCTTCCTTGGGTCTGTTGGTCTAGTGGTTAGTGACCCTGACTGCTAAGCAGGAGGTCGCGGGTTCGATTCCCATCCAAGACAAATAATTGTGTGATGAGCACAAACAAATGTTGCGTCTGGGTGTAAGTTATCTACAATATGTATGTATTCAGAAACTGGAATTTGCCCGCGACTCCGACCGCGTGTGTTATCGCGGTAAAAAGTACCTTTCTATTGATGAAAGAATTTTAAGTGGGTTTAATGGTTTAGGCGTGAAAGCATAATCAACAAACTTAATTTCGCATTTACTCATTCACAATATCTGCACGGATGGCGTAGTGGTTTAAGCGGTCGCCACGCCGCTTGCTACTACGCTCAGTGTTGTGGGTTCGATCCCCACATGGGACGACACTTTGTGTAATCCATAAATTGTTGTTCTGAGTCTGGGTGTTCTTTTTGTATCCGTTTCTTGTATGTTTGTGAAGTCCCCCTGTGCGACACAGGATATATTCCCAACGCGGGAGTTCTCTTTTAAAAAAAATGATGTATGAATATTTAAGTATGTTTATCAGCAGTTTGGTTACCATAGTACAGGTTCTGATTAGTTTGGGTTCAGACGACCGTGTGTGAGATGTAAAAAAACTGTTATTGTTACAGTAAAGGCTGTTCATTCAATGACATCTGGGACACGGAGACGCCGTGGCTTTCGGACCGCGAGTCCACCTGCCACGTGCTCCTCACGCAGCGGGTCGACCATTTCTTCAGGGTCTTCTCAAACAGACACTACACCGTGTTCAGCGTCCACGACTTTAGTGTCAGGTACCATATAATATAACTAAACCGTCGGTGTGGTGACTGATGAAGAATACGGAGTGTCACCACCTCTATTAATTCCGTGGATGTCGTAAGAGTCGACAAGGGAGCAAACCGCAGGACAACAGCACTGAAAAAAGAAGGAAAACTTGACTCAAACCCTATACCAACCCGTGTGGCCAGTGTAGTAAAATAGGCTCAAAACCCCCTTTCAAAAAGAGCTCTATGCCCAGCAGTAGACTATTAAATACTAAACAAATATGGCTCACGGAAGCACAGGTAGAAGAAATGCAAAAAGCAATTTTATTTTAATTAATATATTGTGCAATAAAGTTAAAAATTATGTAAAAACGGCTACATAAGAGTTCAGGAAATGTCGACCTGTCATGGTACTAAAGTCAATACAATGTACATCTCAAGTAATACTAGCCAATAAAATATTATTTTAAACGGTCAAAATTCGACCGCCAGCAGTTATTATTGTACGCAACAAAATAAAGTTTTCGTTTTTTTGTCCATAGATATATGCCACGCAGTTTTGATACTTGACACTTGTCGTGACAGAGAAACACACAGAGAGACTGACATTATTAAATAATTTATATGTAAGGTGAACGCATCGGTTGCTGGCCAAACTAGTCTTAAAGAAATAAATACTCGTCGAACTATGTAATTCGGTTTTCGAACGGAACAAAACGTATATTAAAAAAACTATTGCTTTTACTTTTTCGCGCCAAAACTGTTTATTGATCTGTCAATGTCATTCTATAATGTTTTTTTTAATCTGTATGGCGTTTACATTGTCTTAAATCTGAGCGTTCTTTTACATTTGATAGTAAATTTCACGAGTTAAAATAATTATTTCATGGCAAAGAGAGCTTTAAAATTTTAATGAATTGTTTACTTACTACTGAGTAAGGCCAATGACAGTCAATGTGTTCCTAGATCGCTAGCTAAAGTATTATTAAATGTAATTCCTAACTACATATGATGTAAAAATGATTATTTTTAATAATAAATTTATTCTGTTCAAATTGTTGTTTTTTTCCTAATGACAATGGTTAATTCACGGCCTCACAGAAAACCCTTGTTAATCACTCATTCCTGAAATGCAATTGAAGAATTAATTGAATTGCATTTCAGGAATGAGTGATTTAACTGGAGGGGAAACCCTTTGACTTCCACCTCCCATATTCCTTCACTAATTCTTGATAGGGTACTCAAAGTTCAACAAAACGGCTGACGATTCGATACGTGTAATAAAGATAGCGCATTCCATAGCCGGATAGCGTGTATGGGAAACGGGTTTGTCGTAGAACTTGTAGAATGAGTGAGTACTGCAGAGTCTTAAGTGTGTAGATAAATTATCGAGTAGACTCAGCTCAGCAGCATACGCAGTTAGAAAAATTCGAGAATTGACTGATATTGATACCTACACCACGACTTTATTTTCATAGCATAAATAAATGTCGTACGGTATTCCACTGTGGAGGAGTGCTGCTGACATTCAAACTATGTAGTATTGCACAAGAGAGGGATTCGAGCAATTTATAATTTAGGCAATCGTTGTTCATTAAGGCAGAAAGAACAATGGCAGAAACATATTTACCTAAAACTTAAGCGTTTAAAAAATCGAGTCACAGTAAACTTAATCAAATTTTTTTTTATGATTTATCATTACACCACCATGTGTTGTATAAGTCTTATAAGAGATAAGATATTTTTGAAGATTTTATTTGACCTAAGTACGTAATGTCAGATTCGCCATCACGTATAACTGACTAGGGATGCGTGGTGGCAATATTATATTATGGAACAATTTATCGATAATCGATTCTTATAGCTTTGGCTGAAATATTTACCGAAGGTTCACTATTATGATTATGAATTTGCTTCTGCCCACGTCTTCACTCGTACGGTAGAGTGACTGAATCAACATAATTAGAAATGATTTAAAATATTTTTGACTCTCTTTAAACGATTTTAAACACACTAAAGAAATAGAATATAGTTACGTTATTTTCCACTACACAGTGTGATGAGAAACATTGTCATTGATAACGGCACATAAATAGACATACATCGATATTTTCAAAATGTCGATACGTCGTCGTTTAGTACATATCTCTTAAACTGTGGTTTAGATCCTGTCAAGTTCTGGACTCACCACGTTTGTTATTTTATTTTTGTTTAATTTAGTGTTAAACTCGAATAGATGTTATGCTTTTATTTTTTTTATTTCATATACTGTAATAATAATGAAAATAATATTTTCGGCTATCTGACACACAACGCCATCTAGTTTCAAACAAAACATTAACAATATGTTAGTACTTAACCTCGAAACATTCAAAATCCAATATCTTTTTTCCTAGACTTCTTTCGCAAGTAATTTTGATATGAGAATGGTCAAGAATAAATTCTCAAGTGTTAAGGATTTTTTGATATTTAAACGCTAACATTTCAGTTCAAATAAAATTATGTATGGGGACCTGCCATTGTCCTTTAAATAGATAAACATAATGACAGTGGCAAGTCAACATATGGACATGTAATATATATAGAAATAGAAAAATCTTGTTGTACCTGTCTCTAGATTTCAAAAGATAAACAAGTCATTTCGAGGTCAATGTGTCCGATGCTATAATAAAATCCCTAATAGTATACAAGATTTTAGTATAAACAAATTTAAATCCGGGACCTCCAACACAAAGGGACTCCTCCGACGCCCAACGGTTGATGTTGGGAAGTTGTATATATGCTAATCTGCGAGGGAATTCTTCATATCGCGATACAGGATTAGCAATTCTCATTCAGGAGTTACTCCGTAGTTCGGTGTGTCTTCGTTTGATGGCGCTGTAGTATGTTTCTGTTTCTTTGCATGTGGAATTACAAAGACAAGAAAGCTTGGGGTTAATTTAACACAGGCTATTTACGTAGTGGAAATGTGATGTGGGCTAGTGCTTTACTAGCTTTACTTTCTTTTTTATTCAATCTTTTTTCTATATCTTGTTTTCTCTTCATTGTCTTTTTACCTCTTAGTCTTTAAAACTTACATATTAGCACACATCAAAACGATGTACGGATGCACGGATGGCGTAGTGGTTTAAGCGATTGCCACACCGCTTACTACTACGCTAAGTGTTGTGGGTCCGATCCCCACATGGAACTGCACTTTGTGCGATCCACAAATTGTTGTTCTAAGTCTAGGTGTTCTTTGTGTCCGTTTCATGTATGTTTGTAAAGTTCCCCGCGACACAGGATTTACTTATTCCTAATGCGGGAGTTGTCTTTTAAAAAAAAGAAAAAAAAAGAACAAAGATGTTGTGTAAAGTTAATGATGCCATTGTATGGATCTGTTAATTATAAAAGAGTGGCCGTGAATTTGTTTGCCCTTTCTTCTCATGAAGCTCAACCCCTTGGAAATGGACAGTTATAATTTAATAAAAAATATGAAATTAAGATAGTTTGAGTTTGTGTGTCATAGAAAACCACTCAAAAAAAAAAGTAGAAAAATACACATTTTAACAAATTTCAAATCGTGTAGAACCATACTGCGGCACATAATTATCCGTCAACAGGAATGTTACCATGACCTCGCGGATAACCGAAGTTCAGCTATTCTTTCGTTGTATTGCGTCAAGTGAGTAAGGTAAGGCTTAAACAATTCTGAGAGAGAAGCGGCGTCAAAGGACTTGTGACTCTTGAATTCCAGGAGTCAGTGGGCAGCGGTAGTTACTTATCATCTGGTGACCCGTCTCCTCGTTTTACCCTTATACGAGTACTGTAGGTGGGACAAAATCACAGTGAACTTTGAATTACCGGTGATTTGTCACTCGATTTTTGCGTACGTAGTTTAGGGTTACTAGTTACGCGTAGTTGCGAATAATTTTCAGAAGAGGCATAAAGACCCCATTTCGCCTATTTAACAATAAATCTATTAAATAGTTTATTATATATAGCGAACATTCCCTACATAATAATTGAAAAAAATACTAGATTTACTGTTAAATAGCGTCTTACCTACCTACCTAGCAACCCTTTTTTTATTTTTTTTCCGTGCGGAAATCCCCTCGGATACCACCATGTGGCACCGGTGGCATGTCGGACTCGAACCGACTAAAACCGCACGCCGTCTCGGGTACTAATAGCCGGGGAACCAGGTATACCCTAGAAAGGAAGTCCCTGGTGCCCCGACATACCTCGGGCCATCTACAACAACAGGTAGACGACCCCCTCGTGTGCCCTCTGCTCCCTGGAAGCGAGCGCGCTTCGCAACGCGCTCGCCGCCACCTACCTAGCAACCCTAACCAACGTACGCAAAAATCGAATGATAAATCAAAGTTCATTGTGATTTTGTCTCATGTCAAAAAGTAAAATTAGTAACAGAAGAAAAAACCATAGACAAGCGTCTTTACCATAAATATTTGGTGAAGTATAATTTGCTGAAAACTCCTAAAACCCATTAAATGAGTGGCTTCGAGGGAGCAAATTTTTCTCCTTTTATATCATCGACATACCACAGATGCTCATGTAGGTATCGGGACTATACTGTATAATCAGGTACTTTCAAGGAAATTTACTATTTAGTTTTCCTGTTCGTTTGGTAAATAAATATATTTAAGTGTATTCCTGTAATGAGGTCATTACGGCGATAGTATTAGTAATCCAGGCGGTTGTCCTTAGCACATTAGCTAAGGAAAACCGCTAGCCTTAATGATCCTGTAAGAAATCCTGGTCCAGAATTGTGATTCCTGGTAAATTATAACTTGCGTCCCTCTCATCATCATCATCGACAGCCTTTCAAAGTCCACTGCTGTACATAGGCCTCTCTTTAGAAAGGAGGTAATGGCCTACTGTCACACGCTGGCCAGACGGTTTAGTATAGAGTTTATTTCAAGTTTTCCTTCTCTTTGAAGTGATGTGGCTCAACGATGTAGAACTGAATTGAACACTGAACGTATGTTTAAAATGTGGTGCATCAAAATACAGCACGAACATAAATTATTGTACAGCCTTCGAAATTTTTGGGAGATCTAAAATTCACTTCTCGAAGACAGCGCTGAGCTCTCATCAGTCCACTCGCGACTACCACCGTATGCAGTTCGATCGAAACGCTGGGCAACCAAATAAAAGTTGAATCGTCGTGAAACAAACACAAAATATCACTCAAATTGAGAACTTCTATATTTTTTAGAGTAGGCTAATTCTGATAAACTACCAAATTATAAATAAATTTGAACCTATATAAATTACTCCTAGCTGTGGTATTTTTTCTGCCGAAGTATACCTTCAAAAGCATCAGCAAGAATCTTCCGCGTGTCGGTAAACGCAGCGTGGGTAGGCCCCCCACAAAGTAGTCCGACGACCTGGTGAAGATAGAGGGAATCAGTTGTATGCGGGAAGCACAGAACCAGGTTGTTGTGACGAACCTGGGGTAGGCTGATGTCCAGCAGTGGAAGTATTTTTGAGTATTTTTATAGAAGATTATGCCTGCACTCTTGTCCGAGGTAAGAAGAAGGAAAATTCTACAAAAAAAAATTATAGCTCAAAACTACAAATACAAGTTTTATCAAAACGAGCAAAGTAAAGAAATAAGTATGATATTATTATTTTATTATAAAGCTTACTCTAATTTTATTTATTAATTTATTTATTTCAAACTTCATGCACTTTTGTACATCGGCCGACTTAATGCCCAAGGCATTCTCTTCCAGTCAACCTTTGGGTGGTGTAGAAATCATATAAGGTAGATTACATATTATGACATGTAATATATAAAAATATACACGGTTCACTACATACATATACATACACATATACAACACATCACATCATACACCTACATATATAAATATATATATATATAAATATCTTTATAAATATACATGTTATATTCGTACACTATGTATACCGGAATATGAGGTGTACTATGGACTTGGTAGTTCTGCCATTTAACTAATTTTCAACTTCATCTTCGTCCCTCAAAAGGATTTTCCCCGTTTTTGCAACATTTTTCTTTGCATTTCAACATGTCATTTCCCCTAATGCACCCTCGCACTGCACTCAACTCACTCTTATTAAGTTGAAGGAATCCATCAGCTCAGTTTACACCCATAAAACATAAAAAACTTAACATTTCGTCGTCGACTTCATGTCGGTTTCTTAACATTTGTTTTTACGTACTTGCTTTAAACACGCAAATTAAGTTTCATTGAGAATAAAATAGTTTTTATATAGGACCAAGAAAGGAAGTGCATTCGAATAAGGAAAATGAATAGGAGGAAAGTGAAACGGACTACGGATACCGCAATTCTCGAATGGAAATCGGTATTGAGACTTCAGTAGATAAAAGATCTAATATCTATGGTTCAATCCGTGTGGTGACGGATTAGGAATACAGAGTGTCACCACCCCTATTCATTCCGTGGGTGTCGTAAGAGCCGACTAAGGTAAGGAGAAGGAAAACTTGGCACAAACCCTATACCAACCCGTCTGGCCAGCGTGGTATAGTAGACCAGAACCTCCTTTCAAAGGATAGGCCTATGTACGGCAGTGGACTGTTAAAGGCTGTTGATGATTGATGATCTATGATTGGAGAAGTCAGAGATTTTTTCCCCTTATACACATACAATTTTAATCGTCATTATAATATCTGACTGATGGCCACCATCAGGGTCATTAACTAAAGCATTATTTCCGTTACCCAAATAATTATAAAGCGTACATAATTGCAATCATTTTTCTAACAACCCTATATGTTTTTGATATGGCCGCGTAATACTCTTGAAGTTAAGCGTATATTAAGTATGTAAACAGCCTTGAAGGTTCAGTTCGCGCGGTTTTATATTCAAACCAGTCGTGGTCACTCGCAAAAGCAGCATTTTATTATTCACATCAGTAAAAACATGAATTAAAACTACAAAATAAATGAAAAAGAACACCATTCTAGGCTATAGTTTGTCTTATATATATCTTTCAAAATGAGTGCGCGGGCTGTATTGGTTTTATTTTTTTATTTACAAAACGTGTTGGCACAAGGAACTGGTTCGGGGACCGATGGCAATCGTAAGTTTTTTTTTATATAATAATAATAGATAAAGTATTAACTTCTAGTATAGTATTATCAAATTAATTGCGTCTAAAAGCGGTCTGACACTATCTACAATTTGAATAAGTGAGCACATCCCTAAGAGCTCATCTCAAATTAAATAAACGTACATATAGGTATATATAATACGTACATACGTAGGTATAATTGTACATATACAAAGGTAGGCATATATTTTTAGAAAAGAAATTACCTTAATTAAACCTTAAGATAATAATTTAATTTTTACGGATTAAAGGATAAAAATCGATTTTTTTCCGTTTTAGTTTATACAATATTTGGGACCTCCCAAATGTTTTGGTAAATTCATTAAACATAAATCAGTATTGTAAGATGTTATACATACATATAGGGCATATATATATTTTTATCTTTACATGCCAGAGAATTTAAACTGCATTTAAAACAATAACGTTATAAATGAAAATATGTAAAAAATTGTGCTCGATCGACCGGACCTGAAGTACAAATGAGTAGGATTAACAGCCGCTCCATTGGATGATGGATAGCCATAACATCATACATGCACTTGTAAATGACATACATGGGGTAGGCAGAGGCGTCAACTTACGTAACCCACAGGAGGGAATCCTATCACCTGTAACCTGGCACTTTAGGAATTCGAGATGAGGAAACTTGGCAGTATAATAAAAAACTTTGGCAGTATATTGCTCACGTGGGTGAATTGGAGATTAGTAACAATAATAAGCTCACACATCTCACATACGGCCGTCTGATCCCTAACTATGCAGAGCCTGTACTATTGGGACAAAACAGCTGATAAACATACTGAAATACTTCTAAATACAAACATATTATAGATTAATATCTAAACCCTGATACAGAACAAATGATCGTGCTCATCACACAATTATTTGCCCTGGGCGGGAATCGAATCGGGATAAGACCTCTGGTTTAGCAGTAAGGGTCACTAACCACTAAACCGACAGGACCATCAAAGTATAAGTCCAGCAGTGGACTATAAAAGGCTGTTGATGTGATGTGATGTGAACGATTATGATTTTCCTTGAAAAAGCTGCACGTCATACTAGGTGATTGGGGAAATCCATTTTCAACTCTTTGTAAGCCTTCTTTCTGCTCTGTTTAAAGTTATATGATACAAAAAATCAATCGGACATTTTGTTTTTTTTTCTTTAAATTTAGAATTAGTATGTCTATCTATTTACCTCTCTTGGTCAATTCTAGTTCAAAGTACAACACAGTTATTTCTTTACACCAAGGCCACAATTAAGCTACAAATCTGAGCAACATTCTAAGAAACAACCATTAACACAGATATGCAGACGCACACGGGATATTCTTGCAGTAAATTTAAAAATCACATCTAGCCAGCCAGCTCTGCATAATAAAATTAAAACAAAACTATGATTCAATCATTTTCTTTTTAATTTTATTAAGAACAATTACAGCGATATCGTGTTATTGAATTAATTAAAAAAAAACGAACAGGATTTTAATTAATATCATATATGTACTTGTTTTTTTTTTAAAAAAAATGAAATAACTTAAAAAAAGTTTGACGGATTAACTTTGAGTATTACTAACTATTAATTATCATTCAACCTTTTGTTTGAGTCATAATAAATGTAGGTTATATACACTTAGTTAAACCTTCATAATAAAGGTCGCCCGAGTCATAATACTACGAACACTTACTAACTAATAAAAAGGTATTTCCCGCAAATTAAATGCTTTTGTTTTTACAACCTGTCAGGCCACTATTAAATACTTTTTTTAATAAACTGTTGATCTAAAAAGTTAAACTCAATCGGACAAAAGTTACCAATTAAAATATTATCATTTTTTGTGAAAAAAAATTAATTTGTCACTCAATCCTCATCATGTATTAAAAGTATTATTGTTAAGTTTAACCCCTGGGATATTATTGACGAATATTGACGAATGCAAGATGTGACGTCAATGTGTTTTTTAAGTGAAATGTATTTGGATTAATTTCATGAAAAGGAACGGAAGTATGCAGCAGAAAGCACGCGCTATATGACTTGTTTAATGAGTACCTACGCATGAAATTAGATGTCAAATATCACAAGTCATGGGTTTTTTTGTTTAAAATCAACACATTTTGTTGATAGTTGTATTATTTCCTCATGGGTGTATCTTCTCAACTTTTACCTGTTTCCTTATCAGTATATCTTTGCTCGCGTGATAATTTTTAATTTCGTGTTTCTAACTCTTAATATGACGGACTTCCATACAATCTTTCATCCCTTATTTTACCCCCTTAGGGGTATAATTTCCAAAAATCAGTTTTTACTAGGTGTTTAAAAAACATTTTTTATTATTTTTTCTTTGTTAAAAGAACTCCCGCATTAGGAATATATCCTGTGTCCCGGGGGACTTTACAAACTTACATGAAACGGACTCAAACAACAACCTTTTTCTTTTTTTTTTCCGTGCGGAAATCCCCTCGGTTACCACCTATCGGTGGCATGTCGGACTCGATCCGACTAAAACCGCACGCCGTCTCGGGTACTAATAGCCGGGGAACCAGGTATACCCTAGAAAGGAAGTCCCTGGTGCCCCGACATACCTCGGGCGCCTGAGTCGCCTGCGGTACCTGGCCCGTTCCCGTGCCTGGCGGGCCGGGACACAATGACCACCTAGACTTTCTTGTGGTCACACAAAGTGTCGTCCCAAGTGGGGTTCGGACCCACAACACTCAGCATAGTAGTAAGCGGCGTGGCGACCGCTTAAACCAAGACGCCATCCGTGCAGTCATCACGCAGGCATCAAGTCAGTACATAAAAAGCACCAGCTACTGAAATGCCAAGTTTAGGCTCTGCGTTGATGAAACAGTCATTCAGGGCAAGTAATTTTATTTATTTAGACTTTAAGTACCATTAAAATAATAAGTGAAGTAAATAACTATTATTTTAATAGAAGTATTACGATACTATTAATAAATATCACTACGATTACGATAAACTTACTAGAACTAATTCTTACGTAAGCGTTACTTTACGTAAGCGTTAAACCTTAAAGTTGACAGCATTGAATGTGACATAGTATACTACTAGACCGGTCCGTGTGGTGACGGATTAAGAATACGTAGTGTCACTACCCCTATTCATCCCGTGGGTGTTGTAAGAGCCGACTAAGGGAGCAAACTACGCAGGACAACAACACTACAAAGAGGAGGAAAACTTGAAACAAACCCTATACCCACTCGTTGGTTCAGAATAGTATAGTAGGCTAAAACCTCCTTTCTAAGGAGAGATCTATGTCAAGCAGTGGATTATTAAAGGCTTTTTATGATGATGACAATACTGCGGGGCGCTTTGACTGTATAGTAACACAACTTAAAAGATAAATACTTGATTACTTCTATTAGCTAAATAACTATTCATTTCGTTAACTTCGATTTGTTATGCGGAGCTACTGCAATCAGCCCTCCACAACCCAAATACTAGGCGATATCGAAGTTGTATAGAAAGACTGCTGTCGAACTATTTAGCGCTCCAAACACCCGTAGCGATGGCCACAGATGTTCGAATGGCAACCAGGACCGTCCACTTAACGTGCTTTTCGAGACACGGAAGGGTTTTAATGTGTCACGAATGGTCTCTCATCCATAGACGACCCTCCCCCTTACCTTGAATTTAATCCCCTTACCATAAAAAAATAAATAGATGTAACATTGTTTTTGAAAAGGGTATTTTCATGCCCTATATTAGAAGTTCTTGATAGTTCACTTCAATCTTAAATGATTGAAGTGAATATGAAAATAAGGAAAACTTATTGCAAACAAAATTAATTAACTTTGTACTCGTACTACTCTCAATTGAGGATTTTATTGCCTGACGTCTTAATAGACTGGTCTGTTGGTCAAGTGGATTGTTACCCTAACTGCTAAGCTAGGGTCCAGGTCGTGGGTTCCATTCCCACCCAGGACAAATTTTGGATTATGAGCACGATCATAAGTTCCTTGTCTGGGTGTAATTTATCAAAAATATGCATGTATTTAGAAATATATAAGTATGTTTATCAGTAGTCTGGTTACCGTAGCACAGGTTCTGCCTAGTTTGGAATCAGAGAACCCTGTGTGAGATGTAAGTGGTTAATAACTTTTATGGTATAAGGGGACAAACGAGCAGACGGGTCACCTGGTTATTAATACGTGAGACCCAAAATAGTTTCTCAGCTGTGGGTGTTTAATATATCTCTGTCTACCTACACAGGTACATAGGCGTAAGGATATCGCGGTGTTTTTTTAAAAATGTTATAAAAAATAATTTTGACTTATTATTTAACTTATTATTTAAAATATCGTGGCATTATTAACTGTTAAAAATAAGACGGATGTGTTCATTAGCCAATTTAATCATTAAAAGAACTTTTATTATGTATTTTAATTACGAAAGCAAGTATATTTACCATATTTTTTATCATATGATGCGAGTTGCAACACAATAAAATTATGTATCATTAACAAAAATGATAAAATCTAAAAAAATAGGTACAAGTTAATTATTGAACGAAACGAACTGCTTGAAAATGTAGAGGAACCTAATTAAATGGACACACCAGCGATTTTCTTTTATATAAATTCTCGTGTCACAATGTTAGTTACCATACTCCTCCGAAACGGCTGGACCGATTTTTATAAAATTTTGTGTACACATCGCGTAGGTTTGAGAATCGGCCAACATCTATTTTTCATACCCCTAAATGACAAAGGGTGACCCACCCCTAATTTTTTTTTTTCAATATTTCCTAGAAATAATGTATATGGCAAAAAAACGATTGCCGGGTCAGCTAGTAATTTATATAATTTTCGTATACTCATGGAAGTTAAACTCTCTTAAAAATTCGGTTCTTCAATAAAGCTTATTTTTAAGGTTAGGTTTTACCGAAAAAAAATGGTCTATGGTTGGTTTTTAAATTGTTTTATTGGTCTATTGTTGTACTAAAATAT